TTTACTAGAACACCTACAAACGCAACTGAACTAAGGACTAAGATATGTTTGTTTTGTAAGCCAAGAATTTTTATTTTTTTACTTTTTTTATAGCTGATTAATTTATACGAGTGTTAGGAATAGGGGAATTCTACCCAATCTACCGATTGGGTAGAAAGCCTTTTTCTGTAGGAAATAAAGATTATATATATATATTGAAGATATTGATCTCGTTAACAATAATATCATTAAGGTCAACATACAGGGTGTCTCACGGTCAGCGTACATTAGAATATTTCGGGAAGTAATACGATTACCTTTTATCGATTAGATTTGAATCCTGCAAATTTGGATAATGGTATTTTCGGAGACCTGTCCACATGTGTCCGTGTCTTTAACTGGAGTTTTAAACTTTAACTGCTGCATCTAGATTTCCTTTTCCGATAATTCATTATCGAGCACATTATTGTAGCAAACAACGAAAGCAAAATTAGATATTTTCTAATTTTGCAACTGATATTTTGAGTTTTACTCTTTCATCTTTGAAGAGATTTAATTTTAGGCGACACCCTTAATGGTAACATTTTGAGAAAAACTATTTTTTTTCAGAAAGAGATAGAGTAGGGTAGAAAAACGTTTAATGGATGTTATTGGAAATGAAGAGAGGAACACAAAAAACATTAAACAGTGTTCCATTTAAAATAAGTTTAGGACAACTCCGGTATAACCGGAAGTCGCATAATGTCGCTGTTATTTCATCTGAAAAGAGCGTCTCCGAAAATCTCATTTCCTTCCGAAATATATAAGTATCCCTTGACTGAATATCCTACGAGACGGTAGCAATAAAATAACGTAAATGATGACATAGTGTATTAAAAAAATGAAGCAATCTTTATTATACAAAGATTCTCCAATTATTCTTGAAAGAATTTGGGCAATTCATTCCCCAGTATAACCTTTCGCTCAACTCCTTTCTCAGTAATGATTCCTAGACGCACCACACCTCCTGATGATCCATCGCGAGCCATTGCCAGAGCCAAAGCTAAAATTAAAAATCAATCAAAAATATTTCGCTATTAATTTTAATTAAGTCCCACTTTATGCGATTGTGATATAAAGTACTGACTTCAGCAAAAAATGGGAAGGTAGCTCATAAATGCGCCAAGAATCTATCTTGATACAAGAAAATTGTATTGGGTTAAACTCCGACTACTTTGATAGGATATACTGGCGGAAAATAAACTATCGGTGAGAAGGCGTCCCGAACACCAATCGGTAATGGATTAAAAACGTCTTTCTGAAAAAAAATACATCCCAGTGATATACTTACTTTTCAGTACAAACTGGGTGCATTCTTCCTTGGTCATATTTCTTTTGTAGTTTGCATCCACGTATCCATAAACGTAGCTGGATCCTGAACCACCAATGGAAACAGGCTGCCTTACGCACATACCTCCTATTGGAATTGAGTACACTTGTCCCCCTAAATATAGATCGGTGATAGTTATGCGTCTGTACTTAACTCTAAATATGGAAAATGACGATATCTTCAATCAATACAGCGCCAGTTCGTTACCTTTTTGCTTATCCCAACCAGCTACTAGGATGCCAGCCATGAGCGAATCTCGGTAATTGTAGCACAATTCCTTGAAGATATTCGCCCCAACTTCTACTTGCGGTTCTTCACCAAGTTCCATTCTTTTATATATGAGAAAATATCAGGAAATATATACTTGGCATATAGCGTGTTGTTGCATAAATATATCGACAAACTTCCAAGGGTGGTAGAGAACATTTTTGCTTCTCGAGATACAGGATCAAGAAATTATTAGTCTTGTTTTGTTTTTCCGTTAAATAAGACGATAAGAAGAATAATATCAATGCCTAAGCGCCGAAGTTGAGGTAAATTTCTCAAAAACTAATCAACCTTTAGCATGAAAAAACGAAGCGTTTCGAAAATATGTGTAATGTTTTGGTGAAGTAACTAAAAAAACATATCTTTTCCTTCAAAAAAAACCCAATCATATTTCGTCTCCCAGACAAAAACATTTACAAATTAAAGCAACTTTACTACCAGCTACAACAAAAAATTTTCCAGATTTCAACAATCTGAATCTCAAAAACTATTTTAGGCGATAAAACATAATATTTTTGTTTCGACGTTCTCTGCCACCGTAAAAGTTTGTCGATACATTCATTGGATACTGTGTACAAAGAAGTGTTAATAATTACCCATGGAAACATAATTGGTAAGATACGATGTCAGCAATCGCCTGTGTATCAGCAGCTGATCCAGATCGGCAGCAATAAATATAATCACTTATTTTGGTTAACTTATCAGTTACCCGATTAGCAATATATGCCCTGAAAATAAATAAAAAATTCAACTCGTGTCAGTGTAGTGGATTTAAAACGAGAACAGTCCCATAAAACTTTCCAACATTGTCTGGAAACATGTAATTTACACGTTATGCCCTAAATTGAGTCTATGTAACAACTTTCTTTGCACAGCATTAGCATTAGACACGCATTATAGTATCAAGTATCTACATAATTAGGACCACAATATTACCATCTCGGTTTTTTCATTTTCTATCTAGTGATTTCCTTTTTGAATTGCATCAAAACATTAAAATTTTCAAAGTTATCAGCTTTTTACAAAACTTGGAACTGTTGCTCCAAAGCTTTCGATTGTTACAATACAGGGAAAGCACTTACAACAGCAAGTTAATAGAACTACTTCAAGAAATCAAGAAGGCCGGAATTGAAAGTTTTTATTTTGAAAAAAACCGCATTAATGTGTGGTTTTTCAATCAACCATCATATAACAATATCATCCATTTATTCTCTTGAGAAAATCATTCTTCGGATTTATGAGTTATCAATTAGATGTCCAATCTATAACGTACCGTAGTTTTCGATTTATTTAACTAGGTGAACTATGATTAATTAATAATTCAAACACGGTGAAAGAACTTATAATAAAACAGATTACAACAAAAAATTGAACGCTGTTCAAAAGATCGTAGATTCAAATAAAACCTAGCTAACACAGCATTGTGAACAACATTATTTAACTAACATTTACATACAAAGGAAATTACTCTTTGTGCATAGTACATACTGAAAAATAGCTGAATCTCCCAGAAAAAGCGTTGGGGTACGAAATCTGTTTATGACTGTAGTCTTATTTTCGGTCGTAGAATATACAGTTTAAAAATATGCAACTTAATGTCGGGTAACCCTGCATATTCCAAATACTTATCTTGTAAAGTATCAGATGCACAGCATTTTTATGCAGTACTTGATGTAGTTAGAGTACGATTATAGGAAAAAGTATATTTTAGCTGATAAATGGACATCTCGGGCAGGTACATTGCATTGATAAACTTAGCATTCTCTAATTTGGAATATTTGGCGTCCTACTTCTTGCCACTGTTGTGTAAAACATAGCAAGTTCTACATCAAATTCGGTGAAAAACATTTCGTCCTTCTTCACATACCACTACCATATCAAGATCGTATAATTCGGAAATGTTTGTCCAGTATTCATGTAATGTTGTAATGCAATTGAAATACACTTACCCAGTAGTTGTTCTGGAATCGGCCCCAATAACTACGCCCCCTTCAAACTCCGCTGCCATAATAGATGTCTGAAAATATATAGATATTTATGTATGACATGGAATAATTAATATTACAATTAAAGTCTTTATGAAACTATTTGTTACATTTTACCCCTCGCCGAACCCATCGGAACCCTCTACAATACTACTACTACTTTACCCCAGTTGTAAGAGCAGCATTCATCCAATCATTAGATCCGTGCAAAGACATTGCTGTTTTTGAACTCTCCGGAACTTAGAATAAAATGGTCAGAAAATGCAAGCAATATTTTATTTAGAAAACGCTTGTAATGTTATTTGTATTTTATGGTTAACACTGGTTAACACGTCAAAGTCAAATCACTGAATTGTCAGGAGAGAGTTCGAAGGTTATAAAGGGCGCGTCTCGTGTGGAAATATTTTAAGAATTTTGAAATATTTGTTTAAATTTTTTCCATAATAATTTGAAGCAGATGGAATGGAATCATTGTTAGGGAAGAAAAGTTGATTTAATAAGGTTGAGCCATCGAGCTCAATAACAAATTTTATAATTATATACATACATATATTTGCAATAACCAAATTTAATGATATTATGATCGTGTATTAATCAATACGTTTAAATCTGAGAATAAATCTGGCTGTAACCCAATGTTGCAGTTATCAATTGATTCACCTGGCAACGGTGGATTAACCTCCGACAAACAAAAGTGCGACCTGGTGCGACAATCCACAGATTACAGAGTAGAGATTACCTCTGTGATCTGTGCGACAATCTAACCTTAAATTCTCAACGTGGTGTTCATAGATGAAGACAACTAGTGGTGTTACTTTGATGAGTTATGAGCAAAACTGTTTTTATATTTTAAAGCAATGGGTGAAGATATTGAGTCTGAGAAGAAAAAGTCCCATAGGGATAGAAAGTCGGGTAAGTTTTCTGCACATTTTTTAAAGTCACACCGGTTACCCCCGATTTATTATTACTAAAATGTTGACACTATTTCTGTTAACTGGATTCGCAGCGGGATTCTTCTGGAAGTGCCTTCTTCATTCAATGAAGATCGGCAACAATTCCCGCAAATTCGTCTCTGTCTTGGGCTCTTCTCAGCAGATAGTTTAAATATAAGCCTGTCCAATCCCGTATGTTTTTCAACCAAGAGCACTGTCTAAGTCCAGGACCACGTTTTCCCTCAATCTTGCCTCAATAATAATAATAATAATATTAGTTGTAGGAATCTGTACATGTCCTCTCTCATGACATGGCCAAGGAAAGCAGTATTTCGCTTTTTTATGGACTCGAAAATTTTTTTTAGATAAAATTTGTATACACACCTACGTAATTTAATTCAATATATGCTTTCATTTTGAACAAATATGCCTTTCCGAAGTATCTGATGATGGTCATACAATGGGAAAGTGCTTGGTCACACACCTGAACATACAAATTTTACTCAACACGCTTGTCCATCACTCACTTTGCATTTATATTATGTAGAAATAATTTTATCGATATTTATGTAACGTTTCGTTTGAAGGTCGTAAAGCTGACAAGAAGAAAAGCAAAAATCCAAATGTCGAAGAGCTAACCGATAAGCAAAAAAATCCAAAGGCGTTTGCCATTAACTCGGCAATAAGGGCGGAGCGCCGATTTCGTAGGAAGCAAGATATCGATACCAAGAAACAGCATGTGCCCTTAGTTGATAGGTCGCCAATAGAGCCGCCACCGATTTTAATTGCAGTTGTTGGCCCACCGAAAGTGGGCAAAACTACTCTAATTCATAACCTTCTCAAGTCTTTTATTAAAACACCGATTGGTAACATAAAAGGTCCTGTAACAATCGTGACTGGGAAGAAACGAAGAATTACTATTGTGGAATGCAATAATGACATAAATTCTATGATAGACTTAGCCAAAGTATGTGATCTGGCATTGCTTCTATGTGATGCTAGCTTCGGCTTCGAGATGGAGATTTTTGAATTTCTAAATATATGCCAGGTACATGGCATGCCACGAATTATGGGCGTTCTGACTCACTTGGACATGATAAAGAATAGCAAAACACTGAAGACTACCAAGAAAACATTGAAACATCGCTTCTGGACCGAAGTGTATTCTGGGGCTAAGCTGTTTTATTTGTCAGGTATCGTACATGGTGAATATCTCCGAAACGAAATAAAAAATCTGGGCAGATTTATATCCGTAATGAAATTCAGACCATTATTGTGGAGGCAAAACCACAGTTACATATTAGGGGATAGATATGAAGACTTGACAAATCAGGAACTCGTGAGGAAAAATCCTAAGTGTGATAGAACTATTTCTTTATACGGATATGTTAGAGGCGTGCCGTTGATGAAAGAAAATTCTATTCATATTGCTGGTAAGTCTTAACTACTAACTACAGAACTCAGGTTTAGACTATTGCAAAATTTCTAATCTTTTTCTAGGCTTTGGTGATTTACGAATTCACGATATAGCGTTTTTACCTGATCCATGTCCCCTACCGGACGAAATAAAAAAGCGCGCACTGATAGAAAAAGAAAAAATGATTTACGCCCCGTTTTCTGGAGTGGGTGGTATTGTGTATGACAAAGATGCTGTATATATCGAGTCAAAAAATGTTCAAAGTCAAATGAAAAGAGTTGAAAATGAGTCATCTAATATTGTTAACAACTTGATTGAAAGCAAAGAAACTGCAGACTTCAAGTTACAGAAACATCACGAGATGCAGATTTTCGCTGGATCAACAAAGCTAACTGCTGAAGATGTTGACGAGAATATGCAAAATGAAGGGCCAAGTACTTCTCATCGTCAATCGTTCAGAGAGGAGAAGGTTTTAGATTCCGGTAGAGTTAGGAGAAAAGTGATTTTTGACACTAGTGATGCTGACATGATAGCCGAGTCGGTCGGCGAATCCGAATCCGAGGATAATGAAGATGCGAATACTGTAATGCCACAAATTAATGAATTTGAAGTGAAATCGGCTCCAAAACCAAAGGGGTGCGATAGCATTACGTCAAAACTGAAAGAAGTTTTAGGCCAATTAAAGACGAAGGATTCCATTATTAATTCAGAAGCATCCTGTGAGAATTCAGATTCATCTTCTGGGGAAGAAGAACACGACGAAGACGACGTTGAAGATCCGCCAAGCTCTGATGAGGAAAACGAAGATCAGAGTGATAAATGGATGAAAGGAATTCAAAAAGCACGAGATGCTTTCTTAGACCGATATAATAATAATCAAAATCTCATGAAACTTGTTTATGGTACGTAGTCATTAGGTCAAGGAATATTTTTGTTAGAATGCGTCGGAATACTCTGATCGGACTTTCGTTGCCTCTCTAGTTTTTTTCTTGCAACGTAAGTTCGAACAGATATTTTCAAGGCTTATTGTTAACTGCATGTTGTTACATTTTCCAGCTGGTGTACAAGAGGAGTACAGCGTTGACAACGAGGAAACAGTTGGAAATGATGATGAAGAAGAGATTGGAGGAATGTTTAAAAAAGTGTCCAGAACGCAGCATATGTTGCAGTCTCGAAAAGACAATATGAATTTAATAGAGTCCTCCCTAATGTTTCCCTGGAACACTGTAACTAAGGACTGGACAACAGAAGAGGTATATCTGATTTTTACCCAATATCACGATCAAATAACAAATGTTTTTGGTATTTTCAGAACAAGGGATTGATAGCCAATTGCTTTGTAACTGGGAAATGGAAAGATTCTGAAGACGCCAATGAGCTTTTAAGGCTTGATGATGCCGATAATTTAAGCGACTTGGATTCGGACATGTATGGAGATTTTGAAGACTTGGAAACTGGTGTTAAACATGTGTCAAACACAGATAGTACCACTAACGCAAATTCGAAAATCGGTCAGTTGCTAGTTTTGCGTTCCTTTTAAATCAATTGCTCTTTAATAAGTACTTCAATTTTATGATATGTTTCTTCACTTAGGTGTCAAGCGAAAGCATGACGATATAGCTAAACACGACAAAGCTGATCGGGAAGCCTTAGCCGAAAAGAAAAGAAAACTTAAGGAAAGATTTGATGCTGAATATGACAATCCTGATAAGAGTAGTTATTATGATGAATTGAAAATGACAGCTGAAAAACAGGCTCAGCTGAACAAAAGTGTTTTTGAAAATATGCCTGATGATGTTAGAGTTCAAGTGGAAGGTTTCAGGTATACATTTAGATAGTTTATATTTTGAAGTTGATTTAAAACGTTCTGTTGGAATATTTTAGACCCGGAATGTATGTTAGAATAGAATTTGATAGTGTCCCTGCAGAATTTATCACAAACTTTGATCCAACTTACCCTTTGGTGATTGGATCTCTTAATATGGGTGAGGAGAATATTGGATACGTAAATGTAAAAATCAGGAAACACAGATGGTATGGCAAAATTTTGAAAACAAACGACCCACTGATCATCTCGTTGGGATGGCGCAGATTTCAGGTAAGTTATCTGTTCTGAGAAACTTAACTGCTATTGATGAGTGCCATTCTATTCTTTAGACAATACCGTTATATTCGAAACTTGAGGATGATTTGAAGTACAGGTATCTCAAATACACTCCTGAACACATATCTTGTAATGCTCATTTTTGGGGTCCAATTACTCCGCAAGGAACAGGGTTTCTGGCATTGCAAAGTGTCGAATCAGATCCCCAGGTAAGGAATTGTGAAGTGTGGACAAATGAATTCTTACTATGTTTACCATTATTTAAGATATTGAAGAAGAAAGGATTTAGAATTGCAGCTACAGGCTCAGTTCAAGAATTGGATAAGTCTACTCAAATTATGAAGAAGTTAAAGCTTATAGGACACCCGTTAAAAATATATAAGAAAACTGCCTTTATACAGAATATGTTCAATAGTTCCTTAGAAGTGGCTAAATTTGAAGGAGCAAAAATACAGACGGTATCGGGCATACGTGGACAAATTAAGAAAGCAGTTTCTAAGCCAGAAGGCTGCTTCAGAGCAACTTTTGAAGATAAAATTTTATTGAGTGGTAAATATATCTTTTGTTTCCGTTCTCATATGGAGACTATCTATGCTCTAGTGCAACATATTAGGTATTTTTCGACATCCAAGTGAAACTGAATAAGTACATCCATCTTTTATCTTCATTGGATGTACAATGTATTCAGTAGTACATTTCAAACGCTTTTTACTTCATTTAACAATGCCACGCTTGATTAAACCTACACTTTACATGTACTACATGCCAGTCATGTATATTTAAACGCAACAGAAAGTTTTTGGAAAATTATATTGTTATCAGTACTTTCGGGATGTTGTTTAATCGAATCGCATCATCTGCTATAAAACTTGTCAGAAAAATACGGTTTTTCTAAATTCGGCCAGCTTATGTTACCATCATATAATTACGAACAAGGTAATACGATAATCCATATACTTTTAGACATTGTTTTCTGTCGGACCTGGTTTAAAGTAGATGTACAAGAATACTATAATCCAATCACTACAATGTTATTACCCCCTGATCAAAAGAATCAATGGCGCGGCATCCGAACTAAAGGAGAAATTAAACGGGACAAGAACATCAGATATTCCGCAAATAAAGACAGTTTGTACACGGTATGTTTTCCTACATTTTCAGTTAACTATACTTTGTGACTGTGTGACTTTTATTTTGCAGCCGGTGGTCAGAGAATTGGCACCGTTTAAGCCTTTAATAATTCCGAGCAAACTACAAAAGGCGTTGCCATTTAGGGAAAAATTAAACTTTGGTGTTAAGTCATCAGATAAAAAGACGCATCTAGAAAGAGTCGCGGTTATACAAGAACCGCGTGAACAGAAGGTACGCCCAATATCAATGCTATTCAGATATGCTAACTTAATATTTACTACTATGATGATTAAAAACTGATGGTTTTGCATTTAAGGTTACAAACATGATTAAGATGATACGGACTCTCTATAACCAAAAGCAGGCCAAACTTGCAGAAGAAACAAAGCAAAGGTTACAAAAACACAAAGAATCCATTCAAGCTACAGAGGCAACCAAAGACAAAAAAATAAAGCAGAAAAAAAAGGAAGTCTTTCGAAAGAAAAGTAAAGCAGTAACAAGTGCTAACAACAAAGCGGAGAAGTAGAAATATATGTATATTTATACAAAACTACACATTTTTATTTATTAAGCCATTTGATGTGAATTTATTAAACCTTGATAATAAATAGTTTTAGGGCAAGTCAAGTACAATATTCCCAGTTAGTGAGTGTTTATCAAGATTTTTAAAAATTTTGATTACGATAATTCTATAAAATATATATTGAATAATTCAGATATGCCTTCCATATGTAAAACACACATCTAAATGCCCTGAAATATTTAAATCATTGAATGAATAATCTATTATAATAGTAGCAAAAATATTGAAGGAACTGCTTCTATTGGTTGGAGATCCGTGAATTCGTCCGTCGGATCATCGTATAAACGGATGTATGGGACATGGGCTTTAGAAAATATGCATTTTATCGTCTAGGTAAGGCTAGTAGGGGTAGAGTAGAATGAAGGCAGTCGTTCAGAGGATTGTTTAGTGAAGCCATCAACAAATAGGAGGGTGATATTTATCGGTTAGTAACTTGCGGAGTTGTAGTGGTGTAATTGTGGAGCTGAATTATAAATGTTGTTCTTGAAGATTCTACTAAGATGTGTGCGAAGTAGTAGCGTTGTTGCTGTGGTGGTGGCAATGTTGGGAGTTGAGGTTGTGGTTGTTGTTTAGAGGGTTTAGCCCTGTCTGGAGCTGGTTTTGCATGCTCTCCGACCTCTTTTTTATTTGGGATTCAGGAAAAATCCTTCCTGAGAGGCTTGGCCTGATTCGGATTCCTGCGAGCTTCCCGGGTTCATGCATGTCGCCTGTGAAGCCCAAATTTGGTTTACTGGGTGTACACTGGCCGATAAGCGAAATGCATTTTTCGACTGACCAAACTTTTCGATTGGAATTCGAGCAGAATGTACGGTACGGATTGCTACCGAGCAAGTCTTATTCGCAGTAAAGCTATCGCAATACTATAATATACAACAAACAACAAGATAATAATATATACAATGTTTCATTTCTGTGTATCAATATTAATGGCTAAGTAAAACAAAAACGACATTTTCATAACAATATAAAATTTGATTCAGCTAAATTGCTAATATCATTGCTTAATTGCTAGCAAACGGCAACACTAACTGTGGAACTATTATGCCAATTTAATACTGACTGTTGGTTGACTAATTCCCATACATAAGGTATGAAAAACTCTTCAGGTTGCTCTTCTTCGACGTATTTGAACTTTAGATCAGGAAATTTCTGAAATTGAATTAATCTTGGATGTAGTTTATTGTAGTGGGTTGAATTGAACAAGTTTTTTTGTCAAAAGCAGTGCCGGTTTAGTGAAACATGAGACTATATATTTAATATCCAAATTTCAACATTAAATCACATCCAAAGTTAACATTAGATGTAACATATCACAAAATTGAAATAATGTTACTTCTTCAGTCTTCTGGTTTTTTAAAGTAGCCACTAGGTCATTTAATATTGGTAAATCAGGAAAATATACAGTTCTAAAAATATAATAAAAAATATATTTATGCTATACTTACAGCCAATTTATCTCTAGGCCACTGTCGCCCTCCCTGTTGAATAACTTGTAGTACCTGAGATGCATCTACTTCTTGGTGGTTGGATTTCGTATTTAGCAAATCAGAGAAGTATTTGATTACGATATCGATATTGTAAATTATATCTTGAAATACAACATTGTCTCGAAACGCTTCAAAAACCTGTCTGTTATAGAGTAGAGTGTAGATCAGATTTGGATTATTTGTCAACTGCGAAGTTAAGCACGAGTTTATTATCTCAAGAACCATCCTCAGTACTTCTTCGAGTACATTTACATCCTGTTCTAATTCTGTCGAATCATTTATCTGAATGGTGGTCTCATCTAGCTTGATTTCTTTTCCGTTTTGTAGTTTTCTATGCAGTTTCTGGTACTTTTTTGCCATTGTCTCAAATAAAGACACTAATCTTTGGCTTATATAAGGATGTAAATCGCGAAATTGCGATGACATATTTGCTAAGGCGGCTAAACAATTCGTATGTAGATATTTGTCTCTCATTTTTAGCATGTTGTACTTAATCGTACGAATTATAACCAGAATTAATAAACCTCCTAATGATATTTCAGTGAGTTGGCGTTCAGTATACCACGTAATATTTTTTAGTTTCTGAAACAGCCCAAAACAACAAATTAGAAAAAATATATACAAATTTAATATTTTACACTTACGGTTTGATGAATAGTTTTGTTGAAAACATCGTCTTCACTTAAAATAAGTAGAATAATAATGGACATGTAGATGTGATGACTATGGCTATTTGGTGCATTGTACAAAGTTTTTAGAATTGGTATAATCTGAAATAAGTTTAATCAACCACCCTTTCAGAATTAAATATTTAAAAAACAGTTTATGCTCAAATACAAAATTTTTCACTAACTTACCAGGCCCTGTATATCCAGCCTACTTAAAAGAAATGTTTTAAACGAAGCATTTCTATGTAACAACAAATACAGTAGAAGAGTGGGTGCATCTCCATTAGCTTTTTTACAAATAGTTAAGTACAATGACTGAAAATCTAATTTGAAGATTGAATTTTCGTTAGTTGGTGGCAAGGGGTTATTATCTGTGAACAAAAAAATTGAATAGATTTCTAATTTTTCCTAGCCTAAAGCCTGTATCTCATGTATATTTTGTCTGAAGTTTCTTTCCATGATATTTGATTGACTTGATTCATTATAATTTTTGAACCGACGATAAAAATGTCCCATTTTCACTTTCTTATAGAGTAGAGAATGTAGAGAGTGACGCAAAATGTGTGTAAACATTTTAATAATATACAGGGTGATTCACAACCTTATGAACACAGAGCAGGGGCATGTAGAGGATCTCAAAACAAATCGAGTTTTCATTCAAGATTTTTTAGGTTCATGGTTAACAAGATACAGGGCGTTAAAGTCTCAAAAAAAATTGGTATTTTCTCATACAGTTTATGAGATATTTTGCTCAAATTTAATATAGGCTAATGTTAGACCCTTTACCCGTAGGTAAGGCGACTGGATGTTAAAATCTACAGGGTGTTCTTTTTTCTAGAGGTATACCCCTTTTACCCCCCGAACGTGTTTGTTGTGCGCCCCTGACTTCGGCCGAACACATTTGAATTTGTTGTTCAATTTAAGAATTTTCTGATCTCTTGCAGTTTTTTCGTATCTGTCTTCGTTTTCGAGTTATTTGCACAAATATAAGTCCATGTAGGGTTCCTGGGTGATTTTCCATTAATTTTCTTATAATTTTTTTACGTCCTTTTGTTGACATTTCAAGATAAATTGAAAAGTTGGTTACATTTCTGTGTATTTTTATTTAGATTATCTTACAGCCGATCTACGTTTAAAATTTGAACAAAACATCTCATAAACTGTAGGAGTTAAAGAGAAAATACCAACATTTTTTTGAAACTGTAACATCAGTTTGGTTTCTATAAAATAATCGGCTAATTCCCGCTGAAAACTTTATTTACTAATTGCACGTAGAATTTTCTGTCTTCTATTGTAGTTAGATTTTTCAAACATCTATTAAATTAGATTCTAATTAGGCAAAATACCAATTCAATGTATAATTTAATTCAAGTAAATGTAGCGTTTTCGTGTTTATAGTAATTTCCAGAATATCGTCAGTGCTCAAAAGACGTAAACAGGACTAATATACATACATAATAAAGATGATGGGTAAAGATACACAAAATTCTTTGAAGTAATTGCACCCATTGTAATCTAAATGTAATCTAAATAGAAATACAATTGAAATATTTAATTCTATGACTTTCTATTCTTCTAAACTGGTAAAAAACATGTTCAAACAGTATAAAGATTCAAATCAAACATTGCTGCCAAATTTATAATTGAGGTTTTTGCAAAAATGTTGATTCTCAGTGTGAATGAAATGTTTCACAATTTCTTCTGTACTGCCTAAGTATCCCCAGATGAATGACGCAATTTAGAATCACCCTGTATGTTCACAATCTTTTAATCTGCTAGTTCTACCAACAATGGTCCAATCACTTATAATTTAATAATTACCTTGATTTGAACAAGAAAATAAGCTGAGCCTGTAAGGATTGTTGACGGTAGCCCAGTTATGCACCAACACTAAAAGCAATAATATACTTTGCGTGGCCAGCGGAGCCCGTTGGAAATCACTCTGCTCAGATACTTCGGCATCTTCAGATTTTTTTGAAAATGTTAAAATAGACCAAAGCTCTGAAGCTAATCCTAAAAATATGCAAACATTTTTATTATTGAGTAAAACTTTTTTTTACATTCTGCGTAATAAGACTTTCGTGGCACTTCATCACCTGCATGTTGGCAACTTTTTTAGCACTTGACTAACAGTAAGAGCATGAAGCTTGAAAAAGTCAAACTGCGAACGMGAAAAGTGTACACATACGAAATTTCAACTGTGACTGCGACTCGGTGCTGCGTTTGGCAGCAGTCGTAATCTGAGATGGGATTTGGGTGATGCGTCCATAGCCGCAACAGATTAGTTTGCGAGGTACAWTTGARMAAAAGTGYTGAAAAAATCGACTACGTCGAACTTTTAACTTTTATTTTGKTAGAAGAGGAGGAAAAAGAAGGACAATTCATTAAGAAACAACTTCAGAGCAAAAAAATGAGACGCATGATTCCAAAGTCGTCCAGACTAAGGCTATTTCAATCTTTTCATAAATGACTGTTTAAAACTAGATGATAATAAGTTTAGAGAACTATTCCGGTTAAATCCTGATCAGCTTGATTTTGTTCTATTACTTATAGCAAAGGAGATAGGAAGACCAACCAATTTGGTAAAATTTGGCTTAAAAGTATTAAGATAAAGAAACATTGAAAATGAAATGGCAATTTTTACAAATTTGACAAAATCTGGACGCTTATCATATTAATCCAGAAGTAAATAAGTAAAATAAGTTCAACTTTTTTCTCGTTTGCCAACCAATTCATATGTCAATTTAAATAAATAAATATTTTCACAATTCGGTAAAACTATATGGTGTTACAAAAAGATTGGAGCAATTTCCGATTTCATGGTGATAGAGAACATTCAACGGATATGAAAATGGTATATGTTTTTATCCGTAGACTTTTTTGGATTCGTAAATCGATGGGTGTTTTCGGACATCCTTAATTAAATTGTCATGCTCAGTCTTTCTTTGCGATGAATGGTTTCAGAATGCTCAATAATTCTTCAAATGTTTTTAAACTCATCCTTGTATATCCAAAAAACTTATCTTCATATTTTTTCGGCTCTTAGAAAAATATTGCAAGTTTCTTCTCGGATTTGCAAAAAAGGATGTACCCAGTACTTCCCAACTATCTTTTTGTTTTTTATATAACGTTGATAGAAGTAATAAATGGTCAACGTCCATTTTTGAAATGATTATTGATTACAGCGTTTTAGCCGCAATTGATAGCGGTTTACAATTGGAAGCCGTGGTTGCGGTACCTTAAGGAGTAATTTGCGATCAGCCGAGGGTCGCATTCGCACCACTGAAACCTTTAACGTACTTTGCACACAAACGGTTTCGGTCGTGCGTTCCTACTAGTGGTAGCTATCATCGAGAGATGAACCGGAAATTACGAAACACTTGCCCACTATAAAACAGTTTCTTTGTGCAACTGCATCGTCTGCGTCTGTCGAAAGGATGTTCAGCACATTCGGATTTGATCAGGAACAGATTGGGAATCGAAAAAGGAGGGAATTTAGTGTTCCTCTTCAGAATTTATAACGAAAATGAGAAAAAGAAGTTATTTCCGTTTTAGTATTATTGAGTTTACCATTAATACCGTTTCATTTTTAAGTTCACATGTACCGTTTTCTATTTTGATTTTCATTTCTTAGAATTATTCGTGTTCTGTTTTATATTTTTTGAGTGGAAATATAAAGTTTCTTGAAAAAATGAACTTTGATTTAAATCGTGATTTTTTTCCAAAAAAGTCAGGTGATTTAAATCATGATTTAAATCACTTGAAAAAATCAAGCCAACTCTGAAAAAATGTGAATAGAAATTTTAACAACTTGTACCACAAAAAAGTCAAATGTTCAACAGCTTATTCTTTAATTTCCCGCCTAAAAAAACTCCTATAAATTAGGTATGACTTTAAAAACCCTTAATAACACTTGAGCTTATTTTTAAGCATACATACCAATGACTAAGCTCTGTCCATGCCCTGCGCCATATCCAGGAGGCAAAGCCTGCTGATTGATGAAATTGATCATGAGACATTTCACAAAAAGTGGAGAACTTATAACATGACGTCCATTCATGACGGTATGATAGACGACACTGTTATCTGATCTCTGTCCAGAATGAAACTGAACCGACAACAATATCAAAAGACATGTGATAGCTTCTAAGTGAATTCCATAAGTTGTGTCTTGTACTGGAACATCAACAACTACTGCGAATAGCGCTTCAATAAACGATTCCAAATTAGATTCATTGGAATCATGTTCTATAAGCTCCAAAAGTTGTTCTTCTGTAGTTGTTTCAATGAAGAACTTTAACACACACCTTATCGTAAAAAGAGTGTTGAATAATTGCCAGTTAAAGATGCTGCTAAAATAACAATACAAGTCGTCTAATAGGTTGTAAACACACAAAATGTTGACAAATAAATATATTTATTAACTCACGCATTTGAATCGGTCGCTCCTAACAGTTCAGATGATCTGGTTACAAATAATCGTATAAGAGTGCTTACATTTCCCGATTCCACAGAGTTTTTTAACAGCTCTTGGCACAATGACTCAATTTTTGATTCCAACAGTATCTGGTCGTTCCTTAAAATGCATGTATATGAGACGATTACACGAAAGTGTAATAATAATGATTAAGCATATTAATTAAGTATACAGGGTGGCTCACGGTTTATGGTACCTTATGGTGCGTCCAGTACTGACGAGCCGAGCCTGAGCCCCAGCAAAATTATTTTCATATTTTGTTCGTCAAAACACCGACAGGCAAACCATTTACCGCCGGTGTTTTGACGAAACGACAAAGGAATTAGCCGCGGGCCTGGCATAGTTCGTCAGGTCTGGACGCAATATACATAGACGGAAAATGTTGCTACTTTGAGAAACATTGCTGATCTATTGAATTGAAATATTTCCATCAAAACAACTATCTTGGCCGATAGTTTATACCGAATTATTACCTACAATATCTTGATACTAACATGTTCTGTGTTGTAACAATGTAACTTCCTATCTATTAGAAACATAAGTGTAATTAACTCGTGATATGTGATTCTAGTTCAGTTAGTACCTACATGCTAAACCTCACAGAACTAAAGGCCTACTTCTTGGGAGATTTAAGAAAACCAGTCTTTGACTATCATATCGACTTACCTTGTTGTTGGTGGAGTTATATTAAATGATAAAAATCTGTTCCAAAAAGGGTGGTTTAGGGATATCGCCTCTTTTCCGACGAACTTCAAACAATACTCATTGGTAGATAGGTCCAAACTTCTACTCACTGCAGTGCCCATCTCTTAATTTTTTAGGATCATAAAACAGCAATACTTATTTTTAATCTTAATTAAGAATCAACTGTTTAACATTGTTGGCAAATTTTTGGCCAAACAAATACCCATAACCTCAACAGACACGTCTTTCTTCTTCTACTTTCGTGTTTTATTCGCGAAATCAAGTAGTTGCACGATGTGTCGGTTATTGAAAGAGACGTGATTAAATAAATTCAGTATTCTCATTACAGAGCATTGAAAAATCAGTTTCTTGCAACCAGAGACTGTGCGGCAGAAAGAAAGAAATTCCACTTTGAGATATATACATATATATATTTTCAGTCAATTAACGAAAGAAAAGTTATTATAAAAATTCGTTTCAAGTGGAGGTCATAATAATTGCAAAATTATGGATTAAAAACATTTTTTTGCGTTAAAACGGCGCCCCGTATGAAAAAAGGGAAGATATGTTTTTTGTCACAAAATGAACGAGAACTTCAAAAACATTTTTAATTGAAATATCCCAGTTGCGTGACATTTTTTATTTTTCTTTATTCAATTTCATTCATCTATCTCGACCGGTTTCAGAGCAATAGTTCTTTCTTATGATTTCCTACGAAGTTAGGGAGTAATAATATTGATAACTAGGCAGTGATTTTCAAAATCACTGCAACCAGGTATTCTAACGTCAATTGTCAATCTTGAAGATTTAAATGTTTAACTGACTTTAGCACAATTGCCGGTTATGGCAATTTATTGTAGAACTAATTCCTGTAAAATATTTGGCTATGTCAAAGAATCATTAAATGTATCTCAGAATCAGAGAAAAATCTGCCTCATTAACTAACGCCAACCGATCATTGAGGTTTGTAGTTATGTTTTAAAAAGTTATAATGAATTATCTATCTTCTATGAAGCAAGTAAGAAGCAAAAAGTGCCACAAGTGAACCAAGGGACAACAGTGTACGTTTTCATGGTTACTGTTTACTTATAACTGCCAGCCGTTTCCAAGTAGTGTTTTCAAAAAAAGGCGAAAAATTTTGTTTCATAATGTCGGTTGCAAGCCTCGCCAATGACGACCCTAAGGTTCATGCCGTGTTGGACGGACATCATCTAGCTGTGACAAGTGTTAGCTTTAACCCAAATGGGCAGCAATTTGCAAGCAGTTCTGAAGACCACAGTATTATGGTCTGGACGAAATGGTCTGAAAAATTACCAACTGGACCCAACTATAGATTTTCTGGTCATGACAATGCTGTTACTTGTATAAGTTTTTCTCCAAATTGCAAAATACTGGCATCATGTTCAAAAGATCGCACTGTTCGATTTTGGGTTCCAAGCGTTTTAGGAACCTCCACACAGTTTAAAGCCCACACCTCTGCTGTTAATACTGTTAGTTTTTCGCCAGATGGAATGAAGATTTTGACTGGCTCGAATGATAAATCTGTTAAACTGTGGGACGTTGAAACTTGTCAATTTATAACAAGTTACTTAGGACATAATAACTGGGTAAGTCTTATGGTTGAGCATCGTATTAACAACTTCTATTAAGATAAAAGCCCCTTAAAAGGCAAATAATGTTTTACTCATTAATTCCTTAACTGCAGCTCATTTAACCATATATGGTTATTATTCCTGTGGAAATTGCCAATTTTCACAAACTTGGGAAGAACCTTTGTTTTTTATACAGCGTGTTTGATAAGTAGATGGCTTCCTTATAGGAGATGATAGTGCACGTAGTTATCGATATATTTCTTTAATAGAGCATATTCCGAAAACTCTTACTATCCAATCTACAGCGTGTTAAAAGTATTCATTAAAAAATGACATTTTTTAATATTGCGGAAACCCCTTAGAATATTTTACTGAAATTTTATAGTCTTAGGCACTTAACAGCAATACATGTTTTGTGATAAAAATTTTGTTTTTAGCTTTGCCAGTGGCCAGGGCACAAGCACGTCTGTAGATAATTTTAAATAAAAAATGTTACGTCACTGCTTTTTCTTGTTTCTACAACGCACTGTGTTTGACTAAAAAAAATAAAATCGTTTTATTGCCCAGCGTAATCAGGTTTTTATTTAAAAAGCTGAATCTGCACTATTTATGGTCACCGTTTGAAAAAAATAATAATTAATAATTGCTGTCATTTCGAGTGTCTGAGAGTACACTCTTTTTACATTTTTTTGTAATACAATTTATACAATCTAAGTGCATAATTTTTGTTTTTATACTAAACCCTACTTAATTTCAACCCGATTAAGCTGTGTAATAAATCGATTTTAATTTATTTACTCGACAACGGGCCCTTGTAGAAAAAAAGTCGAGATACCTTTTCTCTTCCAGTGGCGTAACATTTTTTATTTAAAATTTTCTACAGTCTTACTTGCGCACCCAACTGGAAAAGCTAGAAACCACATGTTCATCACAAAACATGTATTGCTGTTAACAGGCTAAGCCTTTTTTTCGTTTAAATATTCAAAGCTTTCCGCAATATTAATAAGTGATATTTTTTAAATTAAAACCTTATCACCCTATAGATCGGAATTTAAGCGTTTTCGAAATACGGTGTATATTAACGAAATATATCCAAGATTACTTGCACTAGCACCACCTGCAAGAAATGCGTCTACTTACCAAACACCCTGTATATCACCAAGGAATCTGAAAAGAAGGTTTAGATGAAATCTTGGAAATACAGACATCTCTAGATAATATCTAACTTGATATTTAATTGGGCAATAAATGCTAAAGACACTATCCGGAAATTCGTATTTAATTTTAAATCTTTTTAAATTTTAAATTGTCCGATAATTAAAAATTATTCGGTGATTTATATCTTTTCGGCACTAAATAATAAAGTAATATTTCCTCTTCAGCACCACTATCTGACTGTGCTTCGCAGTCACAGTGTCGGATTCGTATGTTGGCAGGGCTTTTATTGGTGTTGTCTCGCATTTTCTCTGCCTGATTTATTGGTATAATGCAATATATGTACTTCTTTTAGGTGCGATGTGCAAAATTTTCTCATTTGGGAAATTTAATTGCTGCCTGCTCGGATGATCGTACAGTTCGGATTTGGGACTCAGTGAGTGGCGACTTGGTTCATACTTTTACTGGAAAACACGGCAGTCCAAACTATATAGCAATGCATTCCAATAATAACACGTTAGCTGCCGCTATGGACTCAGGAGCTGTCCGAATTTACGACATAAGAAACAAAAAGTTGATACAACACTATACGTTGCATAATAACGTCACTTGTGTGGATTGGCATCCGAGAGCCAATTATCTTTTAGCCAGCGGCTTGGACTGTAAATTAAGTATTATCGACATTATGGAGGGTAGACCCATATACACCTTAAGTGATAAAGCTGGGTTTACCACTTGCAAGTTTAGCGCAGAAGGGAATTTTTTTGCCTCCGGTGGAATTGATAAGTCTCTGATAGTTTGGAAAACGAATTTTATTGTGTAAATGCACATTTTTACTTGCATATACGTATTTTACTTTACGTTTTAGGAGCAACACATTGTACTTGCGAGCGTGTTTAAATCGTTTTGAAATAGTATTTTATTAAACCTGTTTTATGTTTTGTTAAGCCTGTTCTTGACGTGAAGTTTACTACTTATTTAACATGTTTCAAGTTATCCGATTTAAGTTGTCGCGAAAACTCCACTCAAGAATTGTATACAGGGTGTCCCGTAAATAAAAAATGTATGGATCCTTTGTTTTCAATGGGCAGTTTTATTTTTTTTAATATCAGGACAATGGATGTTAATGAAACTCGCTGTGAATTTGTTCCTGTTTAAGATTCAAAGATTCATCTTTTGAGTAAGCAACCGAGTTAGTCTGCTTTGGGCAAGTGAGGAATTGTAATCAGCACTTTTTGTTTGGTAGCTGAAATTAACTGAATTACTTTTTTACTTGATGCACTAATCCTGTTGATATTTTTGTACGCACTGTACATCTTGAAGCATTCATAGCTTTTGCGCAAAAATATTTCTGTTCTCTTGCCAACTGGCAAAATTATAAAACGCTTGACAATTAATTTATACTAAAAGAACATTATCGCTTACAAGGACGTTTGCATGTTTTCAATTGTGAAACAGCAAGGAAACAGAATTAATGTTTTTGAACGAAAGTTATAAATGTGCTAAACGGATTAGTGTATCAGCTCACAAAAAATCAGTTGATTCCAGCTAGCAATGAAAAAGTTCTAAAAATGAAAAATATAGTTTTCGTACCAAGACACTGAATAATTCCGATGTATGAATCGAACTTGATAAGGAATGTGGTATCGGATCGTAAGTAATATAATAAACTCGTACTGGGTATAACTAATTCTTAGAACTAACCGATTAAAAATATGCTGCTCAAAAGAGGATTTGTGTATGCCTGACTTTTTTTTCAATATGCGCAGAAAGTGTTAACGGATTCTAATTTTTCGCCTTTAAAGTTCAAACAGTCTACGTTTGAATTAGGTAAAGCAAGTTAAATCATGTTTACAGCCTAGGAATCTGTGGTGGGATTTTATATAAACACCCTGTACAGAGCACTCATGGACGCATGGCATATTTGAAAATAATTGACAAAAATGTGAAAATAATGAGCGAATTAGGCGCGACTAAACTTAAATTAACATAATAAAGAAAATTGCCTTCTAATGAAAATAACTGTATTTTTATGTATGTGCAGAGCATTAGAAATTGTCGACAATTTTAAATACAAACAATGGATCATACAATAGTATGTAGTCTGTGGGATCAGATTGCGCATAGAGATTATCAGTTGTTTCTTCAATATCGACGTTGTCAGGTTCAACATAATTTGCATTAATTTAGGTATAAAGTTAATGTCATGGCAAAAAATGGGGTCGTGCTCAAAAATTACGGAATATTATACAAATGAAACGAGTCTCGTTTATTATTAATTTCAACTTTTGTGCAAGAATTAATTATATAGCATTAAAACGCAGTCAGGGTCTTCCATATATTATTAAAAAACGTAAAAATAAAATAAAGTAAAAAATTACATTACATTTTTGGATTATATTATTCTTCGGCTGATATAGAACGACGTTTTGATTTAATATCAGTAACTAATTTCACAAGAAATAATAACAGAGACAAATAATAATTTCCTTGTTTTCTGGACGTTATTTGAGTCAAGGCTTCTTATTTTATTGACAGTAGTGTGGCAACGTCGGTAACTTGTCATTTGCTTGTATCCCCGCGAATTGAAGGGTTGTCTAAGTGTGCCCCTTCCAGCCCCTACCCCTCCCAACTCTTCGCAAGGAATTTCTTGACAGGTAAAACACTGTCAAAATATTCTGTGTCCTGTCTGTTTATTTTAATTTATTTTTGTTGTGTCCACCAGCTTGTAACAAGGATATAGAAATTGGTTTTGTGGCTTAGAAGTCAAGTACAAGGTAAGTGGGCACGAGCATTATTGGGAGTTTCTCTTGATAATGCATTGTGAACTTCCAATTAATTGATTGCTGGGTGGACTTTTCACATAAATTTCCACCTATTTTTTAGGACTATGTCTCCATTGTGAGTCACCAAATGTAATCATGGCTATTTCCACAGCCAATGCATCAGATTCCTTATAAAATATGCTTTAGGGTTTGGTTCAATGGGGTGCGCGTTTGCTCTTGGCACAAGTTATTGATTTTTAACTGACGTCTCTGCTTAATATTTTCTTCTCGTATTCTCTAATTTTCAAGTTCATGAACTGATTAACATGCCTATTTGGACACCACTTTATCTGGAATCTAGAAGATAACATTGGTTATCTAAACCTATATTTTGCGATCTACAGGATCGCTTTCATCTATGGAACAAAGTGATTAGTACAAAAATTGTAAGGTTCTTTCCAGTTTATTCACATAAATAAAACATGTGTCTACAGGATCAGTCAAAAGGCTACGGCAAAGCAAAGTTCCTTTTTCTTAAATAGAACACCCTGTATGTTGTCAATAATTGAATTATTTTGTACATTCTAAACAAAAATTATGTAACACACTACATGCTTAAATTTAACCGAGTTTCAGATATCGAGTTGTTAAAGATTTTATTTTTAAGTTTAATTTGTTACAGTTTGCTGTAATTCGCTAGATTATTATATTTAGTATTTTCAATTTTGCACAAACTCTAATGATGAAAAAAAAGGAGGCAGAATTTATAAAAAGATAACTATTTTCTTGATTTCCATACTTAAATTGAAATTTTATTTTATAGTGTTCAAAGTGTGCCCCGTTTACAGTTAACAGTATAATGAAGTCGATGAACAACATTTTCTAATGAATTTCGAATATCGGCAATTTTGTGACTTAGTTTATCTTGCAAATCTTTAATCTTTTGTGGCCTATTTTTGTAAACCGCGTTCTTAATATGACTCCACAAAAAAAAGTCAAGTGGGGTAAAATCAGGAGACCACGTTGGCCATTCAATTTATCCATTTCTCAGGAAATGCTCGTACTTCGAGTCCAAAATGTGGACCATACATTAGAATTATTTTCGTTACGCAAGGTGTTCTCAAAAATCCGTTAAAGTTGAAAATTAGGTGACATTTTTGAACAGGATTGTACTAAGTATGTAAAAGAAATTAAAAAATTGGACCTGTCCTCTAATACCATTTATCTGGAAGTATAGAAAAAAGAAGCATGTGTAACTCCTTAAAAAATGCACCAAGGAGGAGACAACAAACAAGGAGTTTTTAAAAAAATTACCAATTTATTTTTTTTGAATGGAATACCCCATACATTATTTTGCTCTCTTAAAGCTGTTTCAGCAAGCTTTCAGAAAATGCGAAATGGTCAATACTTTGGGTCACAAGTTTCTGAGTAAATCGATTGCAATGTACACATTCATGTAGGAATTGGCACCACTAAACTATTACAAATTTCAACAATTCAATAAACAAACAATTTAGTTTGGCTAGACCGAACAGATCGAACGTAGAAGTTTTTCAGTAGAATATTTATTTTTTGTCGGTAACCATGAACCTGACCTACCCAGGAAATGGTTATTAATTAATGGTCTCACGACTTCGCAGAATGCTAAAAAAATCATCAAAAATTAGTCAGTAGGTTACATCGTAGCCGAATGCTGAAAGGAAACCGAGAGTTGCAGCATTCAAAAGTTTATTGGATATATTTGAAGAAACAGGAAATTTGCATTTAATTAGCAAACAATAATAAATAAACCAGTAATGAATGAGGACAATGAACACACACTATTACTTAGCAAGACTCCCAGACCTGCACATAAAACTATATCATAATACATTAATCTAATTACAACAAATAACGACAACCTAATAAAACAGTAACAAATAAAAGAACTATGAACATTACAGTTTTGCAGGTATATTATTATCTGCCTAATAGCCAGGTTTAGCCCGATTAAAAAGTTTTGTAAATATCAGAAGTAGAAACAGATAGTGTTAGAATTGGTGCAGTTTTGCCTGTGGTAATTAACATTTGTAAGATAAACCGATTGAGCGGAATGTTAAAGGTTAATAAAAAACGAAAGCCAAGAGAATAAATAATAAGATGTAGGAAAAACGTTCAAAAATGTTATGTCCAAATTCTGAGAACTTTTACAATTATTATAATTGCTTTAATTGAAATCGAGTCTGACATTTATTACTTACTTATTTTATGTGTGTTTATTTATAGCTCCAAAATGCCTGGTCCAGCGCCTGCAGAGAATGGAGCCCCCAGAACAGAACTGCAAGAAATTCAAATGAAATCCCAACAAGTTACAGATGAGGTACTTATTGTTATTGTTATGGACTTATCACTTTTATTAATTGATTTCATGTATTTTCATTTATAGTGATAAGGTTTCGTATGCTAACTTGTATGTATCACTTCATGTACCTGCAGATTTTAATACTGTCCTTTAATATTTCAGTCTCTGGAAAGTACAAGACGGATGCTTGCGCTATGCGAAGAGGTATGTACATATTTTAATTTAAATCCTACGAATTCTAATTAGTACAGTTAATTAATCATATTAATACTCAGTATTGTTTTTCATAGGCAATTATTCTTGTGCCATTAAACATATATGTCGGTTTGTTTATTGATGGTTTTTTACATGTCCATTATTTTCTACTTCTGCTCTTCTTTACTCAACTCTTGTACAAGCTAAGTTTATTGTTAGATCTAATACTGTAAATAGTTGGAGTTCCAACATATTCATTCAGGTTCTCTCAGTAGATTGTAGAGAAAATCCGATGAACAGAATGAATTAATTAGTAAAATAATTACATGAATCGATAAGGGAAACCAGTTGACATTCATTATATAATTAATAATTTCCTAACAGTGGCTTTCCGGTGGTTCCTTTATATTACTTCAAATTTATATTCTCCTTTAATTTCCGTTTGATAAAATTTAATTTTTTAACGTTACCCAACAGCTTCAGTATGGTTGAAGCTGTTTTAACAAAAGAGTAAGGCCGGTATGCATAGTCGATCTTCGGCAATTTCCCGAAGATTGTGCCGGCGGATAGCTGATCGTGTTGTTGATAAAAATTCGGCACTGCTTTAAGTTTTTGCATGTTTCAAATGCAGAAAAGATAAGCGCTATCCACTGCAGCTAGTTGCCTCGAAGGATAAGATGTTGTATAAGTAAATTGTTGTTAAAGTAAATTGTAAATGTTAATAAAAATCCTTAAAAATATCTATTATCAAAAGAACAGGAAGGCCTCGATTTGTGATTTGTTCCTGGTGATTGATTAATGTCAACGAAACATTTTGCACAATTTATTTTGAGAAACGAAAGCGTTTTGTAAAATCGGCTTCAGTAAATTTCTCTAAGGTGAATTGCATATCACGCTTGTCGCTGTTTTCTTTACGTACATTTGTTGAATGTTAAAATCGAATTCCAAGTCCGAATCATCCCGACTAACACTACATATACAATACATCAAGATCTATTTATTTAAAACAAAAATAGTATATAAAACACGAGAAGCTGAGAACTTTTGCTCACAAAATAGCTTTTGCGATCGGCTGTGCAACCAAAATTTCCGCAAGCGAACGTCGGGAGACCGGCGCATCTTAAGAGATCGACTATGCATACCGGCCTAACTGAAGCAGCAGACGATAACACCTTGACTTCTGCCGCATAGTCTTTCAAAATGATGGACAATTAAACCATGGGCTTAAGTCCTAAAAGGACAATCTCTTTTTCAAATAAATTCGGTTTTTTAATTCATCCACATTTGGAACAGTAATTGTACTTAATTAAAAAAGTAACCACGTTTTATCACTGCTACGTGTTTTAACCCTTCTAATGATCTATACTCATTTGCTTGTGCATCGACTATTTGCAGCTTGTTTTATAAAAAGTGAGGCAGGAATACCGACCATGATGAAACTTTTCAAATTTTCAACGTTTCGAATTGAAATAATTTTATTTTAAACAATCAATAATTTTGACAAAAAAACTTTGGGCACACATTTAAAGTCGGTAGCAGATAGGGTTTGTTATCGCAGATTGAAAACCATTTTCCGAATTTTGCGTAATACTATGGGAGCAAAATTTATTATTTCCGCAATGAAACATTTTATACTTTGTCTTTGAGCTGAACAAATAGAATAGAGCATAAAATAGGTACTACTAGAAACTGATCAAATGTGTTCGAGTTTAATTAGTAGGTTTAATAACATTTTATGTCTCAGTTCAAGTTCAGTGCACTAGGACAAAGAGAGTAACATTGTTTAATTTTTTTCAGTTTGTTTTTTTACATTGAGAAATCAATAAAGATTAAATAGATTTATTTTAATTAAAATGTAAATTAGTACCTAAATTATAAGCGGGATCGTCTTGAAAATATAACCACACAGGTAAATTTATTAAGTAGTTTATAAAACATTTTAGTTATTTGTTCTTATTTTTACTTCGTCCCCCCTTTTTCATTGGTGTCATTGTGCAATAACTGTATTTTTCTTTCATTGTTATTTGGTTTAATAATTAGCAGCCGTCCTAACAATAACAGTCGAAGGCCTCAATAATTGAGTTTTCTATTGCTTTTGAGTAAATATGTGAATAAATCATCGATGCGCTGGATTTGGCTTCATTTGTTTTATAAAAAGTTGGCCAAGAATTATATATGTTGTGGTAGCGGTAGCCCTGCAAGTGTGGCTGTGTTTGTGCTGTGTTTTGTGTACAGTTTATGAGCTCAACATAAATATACTATAACACATATGCACTTTTGCACACACACTCGCAGACTAAAAAAATACTCAGTAAATGTTCATACCACTACCATAACATAATAAACTGTTCTTATTCGCGAATCATCATCAACCTTTTTATGTTTTGGCTTTGAATTAGAACTATGTCAAAATATCATCTTTTCCGTTTTTGTAATGTACATCACGTGGTCATACTCTGTTCTGGTTTCTTTATTATATGATGAAGGACTTAAGTATTTTTATGTTAATAATTCACATTTTGTGTTGTCATTATTCTGTTTGCGTTAATCCATAATTGCCATGTAACTCATATAAATACAAACTGGGCCTACAATTATTATACGTTCATTCAACTAACCGCTACAAGAACCTGCACAATTTAATTCCAATTTAACAAAAATATGTTCACCGATTGTTATGTATTGATTTACCTGTCAGTTAACATTGTTTTTGAAAATTGAGCCTTTTAAACAAAACACTCAAAATAACTACATCATTTGCTAGCAACTTTTGAAAGCAATGTATGCCACTTTGAAAAACATGAAAAAATAATCCTATTAAAAATTGACATGTTTCGGGTGTGTTCACTAACCCATATTAGACTAACATACATTTTAACACCTGTTTGTGCTGCTATAGAGTAAGGAGGCTGGAATCCGTACCTTGGTCGCTTTAGATGACCAGGGAGGTGAGTCACTCCAGTCTGTACTGTTTAATACGAATTCATATTTGTCGTATACTCCTCCATTTTATCCTGAATCGTCATTTTCACTGTTTCATTCTTCTAACTGGTAAATTATTTTTATGCAGCGAAGTATTTCCAACGCATTACACAGAAAATATTGTCAGAAAGTATTGTTCAAAGTTTCATTTACCGGGTTTGTACGTCAATATATTTCTTGCTGGTAGTAAATGCATTCTATTTGTGATCTCTAGTTTTTTAAACTCTCTGAAAGTAATTTACCAGGTCATCTTTTGCAACGTATTCGTTACATGTTGTATTATTCCATAGTACGTTTTATACTGTTACTTGTTATACTTGTTACAATTTTAAAACTAGACAGTCTGATATTTTTCAATAATTACACTTGGTTTAACACGATTTTTGCATGCCGCTTTGCTTAGAGTGGTCGAGTTTTTTATTTCGCCTTATTGATTCATATAGGTAGATTTCCTTTCTTGGCTTGTATCTGATTGAAATAAACTTTATTGCTTACCTATTGTTGGCACGACATGTTTCTACTGAGAACTGTTTCAAATGGCGTCTGCTTTCTGTGTATATCGATTTGGATGTCACATATTAGCACATTGTTTCATTAATAAAGCGGAGGTAATTTTTTTTAGTTTAATGTTTAAATAACTGTCGATTTTAAATGAACCGATTAGATTCTATTGCTTTATTTTCATTATTTTTAAAATCACTTGATTGACTGATCAATAATGTCCTTATGATTTTAACATGTTACGTCCAAACGTTATGTACAATGCAGTTGAGGTTTACCGAAAAATATGTTTTTTGCTATTTAATAAGCACATTTTGCCTATGAAATCACCCACCCTGTATGAAAAATGTTTTTTAACTCTGTACATAGAATAGTAGACTCCTGTGTCGTTTTTATTTTTTTGTGTCCCGTTGTGAATGCTATCCGCACTATGCTGTTGTAGAGTACGGATGCCGGAACCAAGACTTTGGAGATGCTCAATGTCCAAGGCGGTAAGATATGTTGGAAACTGGTGTTCGATATTAATATATTCTCTTTTATTGATGGTTATTTGGTGTTGTTGTGGGGAAGCTCTATTAACACTGTCTCTCTATTAATCGTTTTGGTCTTTGTTTTATTGCATATTTACCCTTTATTAAGCGTATTTGATAATAGATGTTATTGTGTACGTACCCATATGAAACTCGCACGGAAGAAGCGAATATTGCCCCACATTTATGCTCACGACACAAACAAAAGTGATCTTACAAAGAAGACTACAACATGCGTCTATATACAGGGTGTACCACCGGGAACCGCCGCGATCGATGTCTGGCAAACTGTAATTAGGAGAAATTTGAAAATAGGACAGTGTGCTAAAATCATTGGGGGCAAGCGGCCGAAAATAGTTTCAAGATGGCCACACTTCCGGTTTTAGCGGAAGTAGCTATCAACTTGCTTATTTTAAATGAAACACCCTATATATTACTATATTTTTGAATTCTACTTCAAATTCTAAGTATACTTTATGTATAACATCCTATACCTAACCGTCTAAAAAGTCCTAAAACGTCTAACCGTTTTTGATATGTTTGAAATTTTATGTAAAAAATGACAGTTGCAGCCACTCGAATAATTGTTCATGTTTCCTATAAGGGAATATGGTTTACTTAATTTTAGTCGCATTTCGTGTTGAACAGGACTTACTTTAATGGAATTTCGACAAAAAATTATTACTTTAAACTACTACTTTTACTAATTATAACTATTAATACAAAGTGTTAAAATCAATTTTTCTAAATGGAAACACCCATTTTTCATAATTTTATCTTATCCAGTATTAAAAATAAGGACACGTTTGGGTAAAGTTGTCTCTTCCAAAAGTGTTTAGATTTTGAAATATTGTCAATTTAATGTTTTCATGTGGCTATTTTGCCGCATCTTATTTTAAATTCTGTTACTCTTAGTTGCCATGACGAAAGTGGCCATTTTTACTGCAATCAAATGTCAAAGGAATGCTTACAGCTGTCAGTTATCTTTTGAAAATAATTAATAATCATGCCCTGGCGCTTAAATTACAGAAACAAATATTATTTAAATGTATTTAGTATTGTACCGTGGATGGCCGAGTATTAAACTCTTTCTTCTGCTTCCACTTTTATTCCACTCGGTACAACTTTAACTACGGAACAGGAACAAACTAACTTCAAAGTTACCGTCAACTTCACTAACAATAACAATAACACACG